ACGATTTTATATTAACATTAAAACAGTATAATTGCATATAAGGATTTTTGTTTGTTTTTTCCGTATATTTTTCTTCATATATATATATATATATATAGAGAGAGAGAGAGAGAGAGAGATAGATAGATAGATAGCAAGGTTGATTATTTTTAAAGTGATCAACATCTGAGAGCGTATGTAAATATAAATGTGGACATTGAAGTCAACACCTAACAATCGTAGGGCCCGAGCATTTTAAACTTTCAATATTCAAAACATAAAATAGTTGAATAGTAAAGGAATAGGTAAAAAATTAATTGATTAAAAACATGTATTGATGAAAAATGAATTAAGAAAATATATATATATATATATATGTGTGTGTGTGTGTGTGCGTTAATGTGTGTGTGTGCGTGTGTATCTATATATATTATAAAAATATATATTTATATACTTTTTCTTAATCAAAGCATTTTTAATCATTTCACCGCAAGAAAGGCAATAACGCCACTAAGACGCCGGTGGGGTGCTACTGGGATTGAAAGTGAATGAGAAGACTTTATAAGAAACCATTAACACAATCATGAACAGGAAATAGTGGACAAACCCCTACCCTTTTTTCAATAGATTTAGAAGGAGTTTGAAACGGGCGATAAGCGAACTTATCAAACTCGGATCTGTAATGAACTGTGGAAAAATATATATCGGTTACTCTTTTATTATTACCAGAAATACTAAATGTGAATTCCATAACGCTTAACGGTCAATAAGTATTCTACACCCGTAGATTGCGTATCGCATGAAACTCCGAGTTGTGCTATGGACGGGGTATATACTCTAATATATACTTAATAGCTCTGTTATATAACATGGAGCACTATTTTTATAACACCTAGGAAGAAATGCATACATACAATTTCTCGGACATTCAGGCCAGTAAATGTTGTTTAATACTGTTTATTATAAACAGAGCGTTTACCTAAATATTTGCATCTATAAAAAAAAAAGAACGTATAAACAAAAAATGTCTTAAAATAATTGTCGGAATGTATCTATTTCATAATGTCAATTTGATAAATATATTTTTAGCTAAGCAAAAACTGATTGTAAAATTAAGACAAATGATCTTCAGGTGAGTTGTACAAAAACAAATAAATATTTATACAAAAAGAAAGACAAAATTAACAGTTTTTTCAACATATAAAATGTTATCACACATTATGAAATGGACAAAGTCCGACAATTATAAAAAGAATGTATAAACAAAAATGTCTTAAAATAATTGTCGGAATTTATCTATTTCATAATGTGTAGACGTCATTTGCTTACATTTCGATACGCATCGAGCAGATATGAATGTACGTGAGAAAATCATGAATAATTGTAAGTTTAAAAACAGTAAAATCGATCTTGCTAACCGAAACAGTCCTCTGGGGTTCAATCGGTAAAGCACGTCCGTCTATATGACGGTTCCATCCAGGTTCGATTCCTGTGGGAGGACACATATATTCTATGAAAATTTCTCGGACATTCAGGCCGGTAAATGTTGTTTAATACTGTTAATTAAAGCACTTAACAAATGTTTGTTTCTATAAAAAGAACGTATAAACATAAAAAAACGCCTTAATCACACTTATTATAAAACCCAGGTTGTGTGTGTGTCTGTTCGTTTAAATATTGGATCGGATTTCCTACATTTTTCAACCAATTTCAACAAAACTTCACAGGACTACGTAAAATTACCTTGCGGTGGTTCTGAAAAAAAAATGGAAAAACACAATTGTTTTTGCACGAAATCAATTTGAAAACACGATTAAGAGGCATCGTGAGAATGAAGATCGAGTTATACTTATTATAAAACCCAGGTTGTTTGTTTGTGTGTGTGTGTGTGTGTGTGTGTGTGTGTGTGTGTGTGTGTGTGTGTTCGTTTATATATGGGATCGGATTTCCTACATTTTTCAACCGATTTCAACAAAACTTCACTTTTCTTTGTCAGGTAGCGTTTCTTATTGTCTTGCACACTTTTTTCTTTATTTTTACATTCACAATGCTTTAAATGCTTTCCATTTACAAGACAATTGTTTATAATAAAATTCTATTCAATCGGTAGACTCATAACGATTGAAAACAATGTTTTTGTTTGAGTTTGGGTTTGACCAATTCGTAAAAAAAAAAAAAACTAATTAAGACATGCGTGTCCGTCAACCTTAAACAATAATCTTTGTCAATTTTATTTTCAGTCTTTATGATGGTCGATACTTGATTTATCTCTTACTGTTACATCCCAGGGCAACGCCGGGCTCTACTGCTATATATATATATATATATATATATATATATATATATATATATATATATATATATATATGAATATATGCATCTACGTATGTTTTTTTATCATACCCATATCTATCTATCTATCTATCTATCTATCTATCTATCTCTCTCTCTCTCTCTCTCTCTCTCTCTCTATATATATATATATATATATATATATATATATATATATATATATGTATACAGGGTGTCTCAAAATAATGTATACACTCTTTGAATCGTTATAACTTATTCAATTTATGTATTTTAACTTGTAAATAAGATTAATATAAGAGAAAGAATATACATTTATAGAATTTGAGAAGAAAAAAAGAAAAAAAACATAGAAAATTAACTTTAATAAGATAAAAGCTATTTGGATCAATGGCAGAATGTTCATATAATGATGAATTCGCATCAAGTGCTCAAACTGGTTGCCGTTCTGTTCAATACACTTTTCATATCTTGAAGAAATAGACCTACAAACGTCCAGTATCATTTCCTCTGGTATTTGAGCACATTCTTCTTCAATTGCTACTCTCATTTCAGTAATTGTTTCAGGTTTCCTGCTGTAAACATTGTCTTTTAGAAACCCCCACAAAAAGAAATCCAAGGGTGTCAAATCTCGTGATCTAGGTGGGTATTCATCAGTCCCTCTTCTTTCAATCCATTTGTTTTGCATGTTTTCATTCATATAAGTTCTCACATCCCGATAATGTATTATTAACTATTAATATTTAAAGAATTTATACATTATTTTGGGACGCCCTGTCAGTGACTATTACGGCTAATAATGTATGACTCTTCGTTAACTGGAATCGAGATCTCTCAGTCACTGTGTGTTTATCTAAAAATAAATACGCTTAAATTCCCCTTCCTATCTCCCGTGTACCAACGGCTTAGTTGTAGAATCTCCGACTGACGCCAATTCAGTGAGGTTTCAATCCTAGCTAGCGGCGACAGTCGTCTAGCCACAATGATGAGCTGTGATACAGCGGAACAGTAAGTCTGTGGGTGATTATATAAATTACTTAAACTTTTTCTTTCTTGGATAGCCATATTTTAGTAGACGCTCCGTTTTTTTAAACAGTATATATATTTTCGTCTACCGGCCTGAATGTTCATAAAACTGTCTCATTTAACATACACACACACATATTTCTGAAAGTTACTCACTTTGGCATGATTCGAACCTTTGTCTGTCTAGACAGAGGAAACTACAGTTAGATCCGGTAAGCTGTGACCAACTGAGTTGCAACGTAACGTTATTTTTAGTGGATACTCGTATTTGATTAGACGTTCCGTTTATTTATTAAACAGTATATTTATTTATTTTCATCTGGCGGCCTGAATTCTTATTAAAGAAAAATGTAAGCTCTCTAGTAGGGCTCGAACCTGCGTCCTTCCTGTTCGTTTATCTGTTTTATTGCACTTTCTCAATATATCAGAATTGAAATTGAGGATAAACTGTGTGGCAAACAAGATTCCTCCCATTTTTTTACAGAGCTCGAATTTTGAATCGGTCCAAAGTGACATCATATGTAACAAACAGTTCGAGATCAGCTACCATCTAAGCCTTAGAAGCCCAGTTCAGTCTACTATTTAAACCATACAGGTGGGAAGACGAGAAAAATTCATCAGTCTGAAAACTTGAATATTGACGCAGAAGATGTGTTCGAATTTCGAACTCGGTTCCTGTATCGTTCGACCCCCAAATTGTCACTTTTAAAAAAAATGATTTTTATCATGTGTCTCTTGTATCATGTGAGTCCCTTTTTTGAGAGATCCATTTAAATTAGACTAACCTCCTTTCCCTTCTCCTTTTATCTCATCTTCTAGTTAAATAAGTTTAAAAAGTCAAAGAGAATGATAAAAGTATCGTTAGTAACGCTATACACGTTGTGTAAACGCGTACAGCCATAAACAAGCGAACGAGAAACAGCTAAACATCTAAACATCTAAACAGCTATATTTCTATTTTATAATACGATATTAATATGTGAATATTTCATGCATTATTATTAAGTAAAACATCAGTTTTATCAAAATTAAGTTTATTTTAAATCTCGTGTATGATACGACCCCCTTAAAATTAGCTTCAAAATAACGTCTTCAAAAGTCGCATGATACGCGAGTATATACAGTATATATAGCAAACTAACCTATAAGAATATTTATTAGAAGTTACTTAAATCCTGAAATGGACAGCATATACAGTGGCCAAGAAATGGGGGATTATTTTAATACTAACGAACAATAGAAAACTGATGCCTAACTTTCTGTCATTCTTTATTTGTTTACCTGTGAGAATGTTTTGGAATTTCATCTATGAATCTACTATGGTCAAAAAATGGGAGATGTGTTTAATACTAAAGAACAATATCAAACTGGTCCCCCACTTTTTATACGGTATATATTCTGCAACATAATAATAGCAACATATTTTAAGACTTCAGGATACCTGGGGAAAATCGAAAGAGTAAAGTCAATGGGAACATAAAGAACCATTTTTTTTATAAGTGAGGGCCTACCTGACTTCCGACAAACCAACCATTTCCGCCATCGTTCATCTCAAGGGTTTTCTCTATAAATGGGAGGATCCTGCGGGATGTATCCTCAAACCTACGTTGCCATTCGGCCTGGAAAGAGTCAAAAAGAAATCGAGGAGAATTAAAATAAACAGACATAAACTATATTGTAGAAGTTTATAAATAAACAAGGAGATAGATAGATAGATAGATAGATAGATAGATAGATAGATAGACACACTTATATCTATGAATAGACTGGGATAGATAAATACATATACAGATAGATATGAATAAAAAAAGATAGATAGATAGATAGATAGATGTGAACAGCAGATAAACGCACAGACACACAGACGCACATACATAACTATATGAAGAGACTGGAATCGATAAATATATATACATAGATATCAATAAATATAAATAAATAGATGGACATGAACTGACTGATATATAAACGCTCACATAAACATGCACACACACACACACACATATATATGAACAGACTGTAATAGATATATAGATAGATACAAATTGACTGATATATAGAGACAGATACACACACACACACACACACACACATATATATATATATAGAGAGAGAGAGAGGGAGAGAAAGAGGGAGAGATATATGAATGAACTCAGATAGATGAACAGACTGATAGATAGATAGATAGATAGATAGATAGATAGATAGATAGATAGATAGATAGATAGATAGATATGAATAAATAAAGGCAGATAGATATATAGGTATGAAGGAACTGATATATATATATATATATATATATATATATATATATATATGTAGACACACACACACACTGATATATAAATATATATATATGAATAGACTGACTTAGATATGAATGAACATAGATAGATAGATAGATAGATAGATAGATATGAATGACTGATATAGATAGATAGATAGATAGATAGATAGATAGATAGATATGAAGGAACTGATATATATATATATATATATATATATATATATATGTAGACACACACACACACTGATATATATATATATATATGTAGGCACACACACACTGATATATATATATATATATATATATATATATATATATATATATATATATATAATATTAGTGGAAAATATACATACATATGAAAATATATCTAAAAAAATTCCTCTCCTCCTCATACTTACAATTTGGATCGTATTTACGATTCCAATGGAATAAATTATGACCATGGAATATTAGTGTTTAAGCCTTTTTTTATATATATATATATATATACTGACTGACTTAGATATGAATGAACATCGATAGATAGATAGATATGAATGACTGAGATAGATAGATAGATAGATAGATAGATAGATAGATAGATAGATAGATAGATAGATATATGAATAAATAAAGGCATAGAGAGACGGACAGATAGATATATAGATATGAAGGAACTGATATATATATATATATATATATATATATATATATATATATATATGTAGACACACTCACACTGATATATATATATATATATATATATATATATATATATATATGTAGACACACACACACACTGATATATATATATATATATATATATATATATATATATATATATATATATATATATATATGAATAGACTTGTTGCAGACCCAGTAGCGTGCAGTGCTGGTTTATTAAAAGGTGGCCTTGTGCCAGACACTACACTAAACTACTGAATCCACAAACAATGTATAAATATATTGCGTGAACGAACAGAGAAGGAAAAGGGGTCAATCAACAAGTGCATAAATTATAAATATCAAAAAGATGGCCTGAATAGAATGACAAAAGGCGTCTGGTTGAAAAACATATATGAAACTTTTATTAAATTGAAACAAGTAGATTATCTCGTGGTACGAGATCAGAGAAAATGTTCCGCGCCAAAACAGGAAAGCAAGATGGACAAGGCGGGAAAAAGTTTCATCAGAATGAAAGAAGGTTTTGGAAAAAAGACTTGTTAACACGAGGTGTAGGTGTGCACAGATAGAAAAAGTACTCACTGTGGACTTTGGCATTGTGCGTGTATGTGATTTTTTTAGGTTCAGGTTCAAAGTAGTTAGAAAGTTCAGTCGTCTCAGAGTTTTTTTGGTCAGGCATTGAATTAACTGCTGGAAATTTTATCGGATTATGTGGACGTCTAGCCAAAAGGACGAAGAGTTATTTGCAGTTGGTTGCATCGTCGTGGTGAAATTACTTATGGCGAGTCAAGAGAGACGAAGAATTATTTATTCGCCAATAAGATATCCCTGTCTGTATTATGGTTGACTGACGAGGGATAAAAATAAGTCACTTCTTGATACGAAATTCTGCCCACGACTGTGTCGTGTGTCTCCACGTTTTCTAGCTGAAAACGGAGAAGGTCTGACCTGCTGGTAGCATCAAGACGAGAAGAAGTCTTGGGAAAGTGTGAGGTCGACATGTTGAAATAAGATATTCCGGTCCGCATATGGGTTAAGGGCACGGAATAAATGAGTTGCCCGTCTAGCCAGGTTGAAGATCGGGAAGCAACTGGCTTGCAAACGCTGTTCGTTTGAGACGCCAGGAAACGCGCGGGAAAAAATTCAAAATCTGTTAGGCTTTATCAGCAGGAGCTATAGTAAGCGACCTTCATTCCTCCAGATTACTGCTACGTCTAGCTGTGAGAGAGAGGAAGGGGTGCAAACCGCGCGCACACACGCACGAGTGTGGAAGGAAGGGAGGAAAACTCGCGCGCGCGTAAAATGTAGATGAAATTAGTGTGTTAATTCCATAGACTGACTTAGTTATGAATGAACATAGATAGATAGATAGATAGATAGATAGATAGATTTCAACCTCCGTTTGTGCCGGATGGAATCGCTTTCAAGACAATGCCTTACCATTGCAGCAGAAAGATTCAAGTTAGCTTTACCAAACAGAAGGAAGAAATAAACGACGCCCCGAGAAACAAGTCAGTGGATCATTTTGCTTCGGTATTTCGTACAACTGAAGAAATCTGTAGAAATTGGTCGGAACTTACCTTCCTGGTGCTGTCTTTCTCGTAGTACCAGTGCAACCAGTCGCACAATATCTCGTATAAACAGTCACAGAGGTAATCAACTTTGGCCATTTCTAGATTTATCTTCGGATAAAATCCTTTGGGATAGAATTGAAAAAAAATATATATATATACATATATATATATGACCCGTGATAAATATTGAATTTTAAGTAGCAAAAAACTAAAAAAAAAAAAGAAAATGAATTTAGTCCGATGATGTTCTAAACGACAAAACACGTCAATCGAAAAACTTATTTCCACTTTGTCATATATATATATATATATATATATATATATATATATATATATGGTATAAAATGACAATTGAAAAAAAATCTTACATTAAAAAATCCAAATTAAAAAAAATGGACGCTTCTGTCTAAGCCTTTTTTTCTGGTTAATGTAAATTACCTTTATAGTAAGGGATTTATTTTTCCATGTCAACAATATAGTTAAATTCCCAGATCAATTTTGTGGACAAGACAGATTACTAAAAAGGCTTAGACAGAAGCGTCTATTTTTTTAAATTTGGATTTTTTTAATGTAACTATAACAACAAAAACATTTCGATTTCATTTTTGCCTTGAAAAAGTCGGAAGACGAAACGCGTCGGCAAAATCTAAGATTTTTTTTCCAATTGTCATTTTATAACAAATCTTCTTGTCCACAGAAATGATCTTGGAATTTAACTATACTAATATATTATATATATATAAAGACATTTTCATGTTTATGCATTCTTTTTATAGATACAAATATTTAAGTAAATGCTCTGTTTATAATAAACAGTATTAAACAACATTTGTCCATTTCATAATGTGTGACGTCATTTGTTTACATTTGATACGCCATGAGCAGATATGTTCCTGAAAAATTTATTTCGGTTAGATCTATGGGGAGGAAATGTGGGTCTGTAAACAGTGACTATTACTGCTAATAATGCAATACTCTTCGGTAAATCGAGTCGAGTTCTCTCAGTTACTGTGTGTTTATCTAAAAATAAATACCCTTAAATTGGCCTCTATCCCTGCTGTGCGCCAACGGCTTAGTGGAACGGTGCTTCAAAGTGTTCATTACTGTCAAACTGTCTGCCTTGAGCAGAGAGGTAAACAGACGAGGCCCTGAAGCCTTTTATACAGGTTCGAAGGGAATATTTTTGGCCGAGCCTACGGGCTCGGAGAACACACGGTAAACTCAGCCTTGTGCCACATACGACCCACGTGGGGTGAGAGGGCGTTAAATATAACGGCTTAATGGTAGAATCCCCGATTGACGCCAATTCAGCCGGGTTTCGATCCTAGCTAGAGGCACTCGGATGATTTAATTGGCGAGAAATCCATCGTCGCAAACAATTCAAATAATATACAAAAACCTCCGAATCCGTTATGAATGAAAAGATCCTTGTTTCTATAAATTTCTGCCGCATTAGTTCTTATTTTTACTACAAGCTTTCGTCTGTTAAATCATTAACCTTTGCATTTGTTTTTGTGTGAATAATTCATGAATTTGTAAATTGATTGCACGTTTATCGAAATTAAAATAACTGATCCAAGTGCGACTTTTGGATAATAAGTGCGACATTACTGTAATTATTGAACAATACAGTTCATGCCACCTTGACAGAAAATTTACCAGTAAAAAATTCGTTTATCACCATATATGTACATGAACGCACAACTGTAAAAAATTTAAAATCAAACTCAGCGTTGCTACTGCACGCTCCAAAAACAATAACTCATTTCCAATAGCATTTTCGGATACAACAATACATATATTTTCGTTGTCCTCTTATTACTGAGAGAAAAAATAAGAACAACATCTATTCCATACCTGAAGATGTCTGTAGGAACAGACGAAAGCTTGTAGTAAAAATAAGAACTAATGCGGCAGAAATTTATAGAAACAAGGATCTTTTCATTCATAACGGATTCGGAGGTTTTTGTATATTATTTGAATTGTTTGCGACGATGGATTTCTCGCCAATTAAATCATTAACCTTTGCATTTTTTTTTGTGTGAATAATTCATATATATATATATATATATATATATATATATATATATATATATATATATATATCAGCGAAACAGTCTGTCTGTGGATGACAATATATATATATATATATATATATTGTCATATATATATATATATATATATATATATATATATATTGTCATCCACAGACAGACTGTTTCGCTATGATGCTCATATATATATATATATATATATATATATATATATATATATATATGTATTAGATATACATATTACCTCTTACCATATCTTCAGGTACTTTACGTAATTTAATTTTTTAAAAAATCTGCTCATCGCAGTTTTAGTGCAGTGATATATTATACTGGGATTTATATTCTTTCTTTTTATGTGCCGTGTCCTTTCAGGACGTACGCGATCATGGCTCTCCACTTTTCCCCTATCCCTTGTAGCTCTCAATTCGTCCCTCGACCATTTAACCTAGACCACGTTCTGTCATCCACTTCCTTAAGCCTGCCAGCTATGTCATGCGTTGCTCCCTTTGTCTCTTTCCCTCTATTCGACCTGTGAGTATCGGATTCTCCAGACCGTCCTTTCTCATTACGTGTCCCAGAAACTTATATATATCCAGTCAATATTTTAGAGTTGTGAATATTAATAATTTTTGGACACGTCTGTGTCCTTTTTCAACTAGACGAAGAATAAATAAAGAAGTGTGACTTACTTTTCCGAGAAATGTTTTGTTAGAGGCCTCCCAGTGGAAATTATATTCTTTGAGTAATCAATGCGTTTATTAACAGTGAGACTATGGTGACGGGGCCTGGGCAATTGTTTGTTCTTGTCAATAAAAAAGATCTTGTATTGCACCCTAACTTAGTGTGGAAGTTACTTAAATATTATCGGCTTTTTGCCAATGTTAAATGCATAGAAACTGTTCTCCGAGTTTTACACTGAAAGGGGTTCCGGGTATCTCAACCCTGCGTCAGTGCCTCCCTCAATAGAGCAATATATACACCAGCAAGACCGTTTTCGCGGGAATGTGCAATCACCATTTTCAGTTTGAGCTCGAACTTTTAGGTCTACCAATTCATACCTTTACACAACACACAATGACACTTACACAGAGCCGAATCACCATCGTTTCCTACCTCTTCGAAATGTAAGAAGTAAGTGTCACTCAGCTTTTTGTTCTTTTTAAATCATTGGTCAGTAGTTTTCCATTCCCCTTATCCTTATAATCATTATTGTCTACCACACTTTATTTCATTCATATCCCACACCTCAATTCATTTTAACAGCAAACTAATTCCTTGAGTGTCTCTCTAGCGAACTTTAGTAAAATAATTATTGTAAATGTAATGTCGGAGGACGCATATTTTCTATAACAATTTCTCGGACATTCAGGCCAGTAAATATTGTTCATACTTTTTATTATAAAACAGAGCATTTACTTAAATATTTGTATCTATAAAAAAGAATGTATAAACATAAAAAATGTCTTAAAATAATTGTCGGACTTTGTCCATTTCATAATATGTGACGTGATTTGTTTACATATGGTTACGCATCAAGCAGACATGAATCTACGTGAGAAAATCCTAGAAGAATGTAGTTTAAAAACAGTAAGATCGACCTTACTAATCGAAACGCCCCTCTTTGGCTCAATCGGTAAAAGCACGTCAGGCTATATGACGGTTCCGTATAGGATACAGGTTCGATTCCTGTCGGAGGACGAATATTTTCTATGACAATTCTTCGGACATTCAGGCCGTTAAATGTTGTTAATACTGTTTATTATAAACAGAACATTTACTTAAATATTTGTTTCTATAAAAAACAATGTATAAACATAAATATGTCTTAAAATATTTGTCGGACTTTGTCCATTTCATATATATATATATATATATATATATATATATATATATATATATATATCACCTATGCTGATATATTACTTACCGAATTCTCTTGCTAGGAACCTGGCGATAGCCATAGTCTGGGGCCATTTTTGCTTGCCATCGATCTCCAAGACAGGTAACATGGAACCGGGCATTTCTGAAAATAAACAAATTAATCTTCTAATATATATACTTAAATAGGGTGCATTTAAGAAGCAAGAATTCATCCCTTAAATTCCAGCGTGTGACTGTCTATAAACCTTTTATCTTACTTGCCGATATCCCCTGACGAGTAGACAGAACGAATACAAAAGTGTTCGTCTACGAAACTCCAGAGTCGATGTACTGAATATGACATCACTCATCTAAGAGGCAAATTGTATTTGTATTAATCACACACGCACACACACACACACACACACACACACACACACACACACACATATATATATATATATAAAGAGAGAGAGAGAGAGAGATTTACGAACAGCGTTTGTAGATGTCATTTCTGAAACTGGAATTAGAATTTTAATTTCCAACATTAAGTGTAAGTTCGAACTGAACTATAAAGTCAAATTTATATTATAGAGCATATATATATGGTTTGCTTGTCAAATTGAAAACGCGCGGTTGTATACCTGAAGATCAGGTAGTTAGGCAGCTGGAGCTGGCCGCGTGCTCAGCCCTTAGCTGTTTCGAACTCTCTACGTTCGGGTAGAGAGGAACCTGGACGAGGCTATAGGGAATGGCAGAGTCTCGTCCGGGGAAGTAGACAGCCCCGACCCCGTTTATGGGGAATTTTTGGCCGGGACTACGGACTCGGATTGTCCCACATTAAATTCGCCCTTGTGCCACATCCTATCTCATGGGGAGGTCGGTAAATATTCCTGGCTACCTGATAATTGTGTGCAAACACATGAAAATAATAATAGTATCCAGTCATTGCTGACCGGGTTCTTGACTTAATATTCAAAACCTCTGCCATTTCTTGTGGCATGGAGTAATTCTTGTGGCGAGAGTAGTAATTCTGTTAAGAAAGGTGAAATTGGGAAAAGGCCTGGGCGTAGATTAATATTTATATTAATATTGATATTATTCTCGCAAACAAACGTACAGAACAGTATCAAAAAATCAAAAGAAAATTGTTGAATCCGTCAACACAGCAATAATAACAAT